TTTATGTATCTGTATATATCTATATTCTAGCTGCGCGCTTTCTCTATATTTCTACACATTTCTCACTCATTTTTTAAATTTAATTGACGCATTTAGTTCAGCAACAACAACAACAATAACAACAACAACAACCAGACCATTTTTAATGCATATATCAACAAAAATGTGCCCCACCCACGTCTGTCCCACTCAGGCTTTGCCCCTGCCCCTGCCTCACCGTCCTCCTAACCACCTCCATTATGGCGACAAATTCCATTGCAAATCAAAGATTCACACTAGGCGAAACTCTTTGAATTTGCAGCAGCTGTTGGCACTGCGATATAGAAGACCAAAAACCAAAAACTGAAAACCGAAACAATATTGCTTCAGAGCGCAATGAGATGTACGGGAATGAGTGAAAAGCTGCCTGTCTCGCTCTTGCATTATTTTGCAATCTAATTGTAATTCCTATTTACATTTACGTTCAGTTCCTCGCTCCTTCTCTATCCACAGTCGATTATATGTCTCTCTCACTTTATCTGTGTGTGTCTCATTCACTCTTGCTCACTTAATGTCTCGTGTTCTTTGTTGGTGTATGTTGTCTCTTCTCTCTTTCTCATATCATATTCCTACATTTCAATGCATCGCGAAAATTCCTTCCTTCCCCCTCTCTTTCTAAGAACTCCTCTTGCTGCTCTCTTTTAGTCTGTCTCTTTGTGTAATTTTCTTTCGCGCTCATATTCTCTCTCTCTCTCTCTCTCTCATTCTCTCTCTCTCTCCCCCTCTTCTACTCACAATCTCTGTTTCTTAATTTCATGCTTAACATCGGTATCTCACTCTCTCTTACTTTCACTTTACTTTCACTATCGCTCTTTCACTCTCCACCTGTCTCTTTTACTCCCTAAGTCTCTCTCTCCCTCTATCCCTCTCTCGTTGTACCTCATTCAGTCTTTCTGTTTCAATCTCTCTCTCTCTCTCTCTCTCTCTCTCTCTCTCTCAATCTCTAACTCTCTCTCTAGCCTATACTCAATAATCGATTGGCAATAATCGTCCAATAATAAGTCCAAGGTCGATAGTTGATAGTCAATAATTGCTAGTCGATAAACGATAGTTATTGCAAAGTCAATAACCGTTAAGTCAATCGTCCGATCACACAATCCCAGCTATCGACAGTCGATAGTTCCTAGTTGGTGGCAAGCGATGGCCAATATTTGGGATATTGGCCACTGGGGCAGTCTGACAACTCTTATCGCATCTCTCACTCTCTCCACTAGCCGGGGGGACGGCCATCCCGTTATCAGAGCCGCAAAACTTTGCGCTGTTTGGCTGCGGCTCTGATAAGACTCCAACCAGACGCACCGACAGCGCCAACAACAGCAACAACGACAACAACAAGCCAAACAAACAAATGAAGTCGACGTCGACGTCAACGTCGCGACGCTCACGTTGCTGTCGCTAATGACGACACAGGCGGACGCTGGCGCCCATTTCGCCAAATAGCGCGCAGAGCGAAAATCGTTAACGGGAAAGGCAATAGCAGCGCGCAGAGCTAGTGGCAGAGCAGCGCAGCAGCAGCAGCAGCAGCAGCTACATACATATGTCGACGTTGCGACGCGTCGTCGTTATCGCAGTTATAGTTCGCAGTTGAGTTGCGACGGCGACGCAGTTGTCTTCCCTTCCACATTGCGATTGGATCGACCAGCGCCGGGCGGAGCGGGCGAAACGGGCGAAACGGGCGAAACGGTTCGGTTCGTTCGGTTCGTGCGGTTTGTTTGTTTTTGTTTGATTTTAGTGCTGATGGCTGTCGACGTCAGAGCTGTGATTGCTGTTGTTATTGTTGTTGTTGTTGCTGTGACAACGTCGCAGTTGCTTCACTTTAATTGTAATTATAATAGTAACAAACAATAATAACAACAACAACAACAACAACAACAACAGCAAGTTTTGGCGAGCATCGATCAATTTCGTTTTGCCTATTCCATAAAGAATGTTGATGATCGTTGCGTGCCTTTGCCTAAAAGGCAGCACACACACACACACACACACACACACACATACATATATAGGCATATGCACTCAATATCAGAGCGTGATCAAGCAACAGCGCGAGCAACAGATTGATCGCAACCGAGCGCAGCGGCATCTGCGAAGCGCCCAGCAACAAGGGCGAAATAGTGGGAGGAGTGACGAGAGGGAGAGATTGAGAATGGGGGGCGAGAAAGAGAAAGAGAGTGAGTGAGTGGGAGTGCAGGTAGGGAGCGCACGAGCGGGCATGGGAGAGCAAGATTGCAGCTCCAATAACATGATTATTTGAATGTAATTTAGTAGGGTATCTCAATTCAATTGCAAGCGAATGCCCTACACTTAATGGAGCAGGTATATCAGTTATTGGTAATTGAAGACGAGAGAGCTGATGCAATAAATGTATATATTATGAAATGGAAATGGAAAAGAAACGTTGTTACATAAATTTATTAAAAATAATACTT